GTGAAAGTTTTGATAAATACTGACTGTTTCTAATATTTGATAAGGAAAATTTCAACAAACATGAAAGAATTTTTTATTACAAACTTATGACAGATAAAAAGCGAAACATTCTTCGAGACAATATTTTATAGAGAAACATTATTATATAAATACAACTACAATATATTTATTTTATCTAAATAATAATATATATTGTGTATATATATATATAATATGTATGTGTGTAAATATGCATTTCACATATTTAAATTTATATTTTTTATATACTTGGTTCTTTAAAAATTTTTATATATTTATTTTGTGTCTTTCTCTCTTTCTTTCTTTCGATTAAATCTAATCGTAAGCAATCTCGAATTTTGCTTTTGAGTGTATCTCGTAGTTCTTGGCCCAATCTTTTTGCGAAACAGTTTAAAAGACACGTAGGTCGCGAATGTGATTCGACAACATTGCTCGTTACTATTTGAATTAGCTGCTAATCCTTATGATTTGCCTGACCTTTATCTCTTCTCGTCGAGATGTGACATGATACGAACAAACGAGACATATTGCATGCTTATCAAAAGCGATAAACAACAGCTTACATAGATGCTATCGTCTATCTCGGTTAATCTCTGCCATTAATCAAAAATTAAGAAAATAACAATACGTTACCATTTTGAGATATTTATTTTTCATACCCGTACATATATCTTTCTTATATAAATTTGTATGTGTGTGTGTGTATAACACAACATATACTTCTCTTTTCCTTTCTCACTCTTTCCTGAATTATCTTGTTTTATCATTGAATGAACGTTGAACTCTTACAATGTTTTACAGAGCAAAAGTCTTAAGAGTTTTATCTATTAATGCAGAAGACACTATACCATATCGTCGGTTTGTTACAATATGAAATCGGCGTGCCAACATAAGTGGATCGGTTTAAAAATATTTATTCGAGATTTCGTCAGGAAACATTATACTGTGATGTAATACGCGCATTAAATCACAAATGCATACAAATTATTAAATAACATCGACATTATTGAATCATAATCTTTATTTATACTGTATATATACTGTACTACTATATTTTTATATATACTATTGTATTACGCCAAAACAATTGAAATGATAAGTACATTTCGTCGTATCGCATGCGTCCCGCGGTCGCTTTTGCACCTAACAATACGTATTATTTGACCGATATTATCAATTGACCATTTGTCATTCTATGTTGTAATATCTTAACAACACAAAGATAGAGAGAGATGATTCTGCTGATATAAAGACATTAAGCATATTGCAATAAGCACAACACAAGCGTAGCAAGTGATAAGACGATGAAAAGCTATCAGATTTTTAATTGATCGAGTTCAGTATAAAATGTTTGGTAACACATTTTTACATGTAAAAGATTTCGACACTTTTATAATTTTGCAATATTATGAGAGGTGAAATTTTAAAAACGATGATAAGCAGCGGCCATTTTTACTAAGGTGACGTACGAAGGGTAAAATGTAATGTTGTGTGCGAAAAATATCGAAAAAATTGTTCTACGAAAATTATATGATAATTTTCGTATTTATGCAATAAGAACAAAACTTTATTTATTACTATTTATTTTTATACTAATATTTTTATTTTGTTTTAAAAATTCTATTTTCAAAAAAAATATTGTATTATTAAATATCGTGTAACGTCACAAAAAGAACCAGTCTTGAAAAAAATAATGTGATAGTTCACGATATCTTGCATTTCTTATCAGAAATAATTTCGGAAATTTTTTGAAGCTGCATTTCATCACTCGCCTTTATGACAAGCAAACCGTTTGGCGCGATAGCAAGACGGATTGCCTATTCGCGAGCAACATTCCACTGGACGCTCGAGGTTCGCGCAAGATACTCTGACATTTAATCTCACCTCGACCTGTCCCGAGAAGTGAACGATCCGATTAAACGAGAAAGAAAAATTTGACGAAAATATCAAAATCGGCAAATCCTAAAATCATCGATCCTTACGATTAATGAAAACGGCGGAAAACGCAACGATAATCCAATATCGCTTGCATCTCTCGCGTTAAAGTCTCTCGCTTTTGCTTCGCCTCACTTTCTGTCTACCTACTCTCTCGTGAAAGTACACGGCCGATCGAGAGGGCAGGCGGGGAGAGGAGGCCCTCCTCGGAGAACTACCTACCTTGGTAGACGATGCCACGGCAGTCGTCGTTCAGCTGACGTTCACCTCGACTCCGCTTTCACCCAACCGATCCCGGCGATCTTGCGCGATCTCGTCGTCGTCCGCGACAATTTTCTCGCCGTTAAGAGTATCCTAGATTTCGCGTTTCTTTCTTTGCGCGACCGAGAAAAACGGATATACATGCACACACGCACATGCGAAAGAAGAAAGAGCGTGTGAAAATAGGATACAGTTTCCTTCCGAACATCCGAAGAAGCGGGTCCAGGAAGCAATCCCTCGACATCTCCGTCGCGCGTCATCCGTCGACTATGACTGCCTGCATCGCGAGGATACCGAGGATAAGGATCTAGCAGAGACCGAATTGTCCGCAAGTGAGTGAGTGTGAAATCATGGAAATTATTTATTAACTTTCCTCTGTCTCTTCTTAATGCAATTAATGCGATTAACAAGCGCTAATGTTTAGATACGAGACTTTTCGTTTATTAAGCATTCTATTACCTAAGCATCTTTGATGTTTAATAAACTCATTAATACAATCAAGTCAATGTTTCATTTTTTAGACACAAATATTATTATTATATTGATATATTTTAATATATTTTAATACATTATTTTATTAAAATTTTGATAATATTTTGATAATAAAAATGATCTTTAAACTTTTCAGTATCTGAAATTCGCAAAGTAATTATGTGAAACATTCAAAAACAATTCTAGGATCTTTAAAAGCAGTCGGTAAAAATATTTGTGGCTTAACTTTAAATTCTCTAGCTTATGGCTATTTTTAATGGCGGGTATAAAAGTTTCCTTAAAAATTCCTTACACTGTCAAATTTTCGAATGTGAGCTATCAGTTATTTAATAACTCTGATATTAATCCGAGAGAATTCTAGGAAATAAAAACAATCGTGTTAACTTTCCCCATCAAATAAAATCCACTTATATTATAATTATGACTTTTAATGGACATGTTAAAAATTCTTGAGTCTGTTAAATTATTAAGTATATATATATATTAATTATTCGATATTAATTCGAAAGCTTCAACGGATAAAAAAAGATCGCGATTTAACTTAAAATGCGCTTCACGCTACGATTACAGTTTTACTGGGTTAACTTCCTACTTATTAATCGCCGCGAGCAGAAATGAAAGTAGTTTTGTTGCGTGCCCCATTTGTGCTGTTACGCGAAAACTATGCACGTCAAGTTTCCGCACAAGAGTTAGACTTTATTATTATGATTATTAACTATTATTGTATTATTTAAAAATATATACAGAATGTTCTTTTAATAGCAGATTTTCTGGCTAATTCAAAGTCGATTTTTCCTCGACAAAAATGTCAAGGTACTAATAGTTTTCGAAATACGAGCGATAAAAAAAGAAAGGCTTTTCGCATATTATAATATTAGATGGAGTTTACTTGAATAGAATTTTAATTCGAGGCCTAGTTACATAATGGAAACGAATTGGAAAATTGCAAAAGATAATGACCTCCCTCGACATCTTCGCTAAGGAAAGAATTAGCCAGAGAATCCGCTGTTAAAAGGATATCCAGTTTCGAAACACCATAACGTACATGAAAGTTTCCTGAGATTTTAGAATCTCGCATCTCGGGATGAGAGAAACGAGATGCAGAAACCGAACAAATACATGGATTAAGAAATAATAATCAACCGAAACATACTTGTGGGCGACAGCGTAACGGGTAACGAGAACTCTAACAAGGATCGCCCCGCGCGTGTCGAAACGATCTCGCGGAACTTCATTGATCGTCTTGGGAGATGAGTAAGGGGGCGGCGTGCGAAAAGCCGTGAAGAGAAGACGAGTCGCATGTTGCGAGAAAGGAGGCGATAATTGCATATTTACGATACGGCCTGACCTTGCGCCCGTTACTTTCGCTATCGCTGATTATCCCGCGAGGTACCTACGATCCCGCGTTAGATTGATCTCGACTATAATCGCCGTCATAGTCAGAGATTAGGAGCGGTCAGGAAGCGTGTCTCTCGTCCGGATACTTTTTTCTTCTCTCTCGCGGAGAGTCATCATTTATCTGACGGATGACGTCGCATACTGATTCCCCTGTAATCCGATGTAATTGTCGGCGAAAGTGGGGGGGGGGAGGGCATTTTATTTCAATATTATCCGTATTATCGATACGAATATAGAGAATCGATAAAAGATCCCGCGATTTTTTTTCTCACCGCGTATCGGGCGATAATGCATTATCACGATAGTGCACGGATACGTCACGATGGGGGTTTCCTCGTCAATATCGTGGTCAGTTATCAAAAGAACCGCTTGCTCAATGATTGGTC